TTGCCCTGAGACATGGCATCGATGGAGAACGATTAGAATTACTTCTACTCGCAACTTCTCAAGTTTCTTTTTTCGCGAATGGAACCTGCAATTGTATTTATCCCTCGCGTCTAATTGCTTTCACCGGTCGAAAAAGGGATTATGTACGTGACATATCAGAAGACGACCTCTTTTGCTTGGAATTCAATAGCCGGTAGACACCTTATGTTTCGAATTGGACATTAATTTTAAACACAAGAAAACAGCTTTGCTGTTGTTTGTGTTTGTGTTTTGTCTAGTTTTTTTTTTTCCAATGTTAAAAATACATCGGGTTTTCTTCTCATTATCATGCTCAAAGTTACTGATGAACTTACAAAACTGGCAAGCGCATCTGCCGAGAGTGAACAATGTATCCAGTGATCCACACAAAGAAATAACTTCGATTGTACGGACAGAAATTCGGATCATGTACATTGTACATTACCATTGGTTTCAGGCTGAGTAATTGAATTTATTGGTCGTAGGAACCAAATGTTAGTTCAGATAATCCAATTTTTCCGTAAAAGATACAATTCACAGCATGTGGCCCATTAAAACTTTGGTTAAAACCTCGAACTTAAGCTCGATTCACGTCACCGAAAACTTCAGTTTCCTGGGCCAAAAACGCTTCTCTCTGACTCTTTCAAACTCTATTTAATGTCACTCTCGCATATGAAGGCTGGGCCCTCTCTGAACGGAACACTGTTTTGTTTTATTTACCTAACGTTAGGAATAATCCGTTGTACCATAGATTCAATCCCACCAGTCCAAGTCTGCGCACTTGATTTATGAGTAGTTTTCCAATTATACACAGTTAAACGTTATGCGAATTTGATTACTATCGCCGCGTTACGCACACTCGAGCATGAAACAGGCGCCGCAGAGGCAAGTGGGGCTTGTGGCTCGGCATGTCTTTTTTTACGCATCATCATCAGCAGAGAGAACGAGGATAATAAATAATGGTATTGTTCGTTAGATTCATAAGTTTATTAGATCGCGTTGGAATCTGTTTGATATAGCTAGTGTCAAAAATCTGTTAAAGTTAATCAGACATATTTTCACGTCTACTGGACTCACCTTGAACACTACTAGATATCTATGGCTCCAGCACCCGGAACTTTCGACCTGTGAGCCCGGAACGGACGGTATGTCTATGTAGCCTAGAGTTGTTGTTTTTCAAGTCATCATAACTACGGATTAATTTTACATTTTCAGGTATTTTCTTGTAGCAAAACGCCCATAAAAAATAATAATGTAATTTAAGTAATACTACCAAGAGCCTAATTTTGAAAAATTGCGGTATCAAGGTATCTCTTCCTATAGGTATGCATTTCATGCAAGCCCCTTACGAACTATCGAACTTATCTCAGGACAAGCTTTGAGTGACACGACAGCCACCTAGAACCATGGGAAACATGCGTACATCGAAAGCGAGATTCCTCACTGGCACTCAAACAAATTTCACTCGCTGTGGGTGAAATCTCCAATCTAGTAATCCAGTGTCTCAATAAAACACGGCAAACGGAAACAAATCGCAACTAGTTCATCGAGCCAAAATTCTCGCCGTAGCCGCTGAATCGCACCGAAATTTACCCGTTTCGCATCGGGATGATACCTACAACTCAGCCATAGAACGGCAACAATGTCTCACATTTTGGCTGCGCGACAGAGCCGGCATCTAGCGGTGACGATGCGAACGCGTTAAAGCAAGTTCATAACTCGAATTTCACTTTTATCGGAACGGCGAGGGCCCCGGGCCGGGGGCCTTAGGAAGGTGGGAAGAGAGGGGGGGGGCGCAGGACGAAATTAACGAGGACCGAAGACGCAACATCCATATACACAGCCACGGGCATTCATTAACTGAATATTGATGAGGATTGATCTGTATTGGTTGGTTGCAGGCCGCCCGTATATACGTCGCGTCGGATCTTGGGGGAATCTCACTCAGCGCTGAAAAGTGAACTTGCGGTCTTGCGGTCATACCGCGTCGCCGCTCTCATGTTGGGACACTAATGCGTGGAAGAAGCGAAAGTTCGCTCGCAGTGGAGACGGTCACTTTGGACGATTTCCTGTGGGCTTCACTTTGCATTAACTTTCGGAACCGCTCTCCCGAAATAAAAATAAAAACATCGACCGGCATGATGCGATGAGTTTTTTTCTCCTTTTTAAATTGACAAGGACCTCGTGGTAATTTCGAAAATTATACATGTGCAGTAAAGTGGTAGTGAAAACTGCAGCTCCTCGGACTGCAGGAACATGTTTTAGATGAACTGCTCTTATTGCATAGAGGTAAGGAGTTCGAGTCCGCGTGACTAGGACGATCTGAGTCTGAAAAATTGCAGTGTCATTATTTTGGAGAAATACAATTTTAACTCTTTTCACCAGAATATTGATAGTTTTTTTTTTTTTTTTCAACACACCCATTCACTTGCAATTTCGTCATTTCGAGTGACAGTTTAAACATTCAACGAGAAGAAGTCAAAATCTCTGATGGGTAGAATTTGTAGGGAAGTACTTCTTAAACGACTTGGCATTGGTGAGTTTTTTGGTCAAGAGCCCACGCTATGTCAGAAACTGAAAATTGTGTGATGAAAATCCTCTTAGGAAAATTTGTTACTTTCAAAGTCTCTCCGGCAACAGTGGCTTATCGGCGTTTTGCGCCGGTGACTCGAAGCGTGAAGTCTGGATAGGTGAGAACAAATTAACACTACGAGACAGAAGTAAATCAAGACCAGGCGAACAAAAGTGAAAATGCAAATATGCGAGGAACTTAATTTAAAACGTTGAAATTAGAGACAGTGCACTTCCATCATGCCTCAGAAAATTGTCTGAGAATTTTGATCAACCCCTTTCGTAGGCATCGCGGTAAATTTTCTTATGATGTTTAATAAAACATTATTTATGATGCAAAATTGTCTGTAACTTTTAAGCAAATACCCGTTATTCATTAAAAGAAAGTAAAACACCTTGAAATATCAATGAATTCCATACCAGCGGCATATTGCTCATGGAGGAAGGACGAATCTTCCATCTTTAAAAAAAAAACTGGAATACTCCCTTTGAAATGGCCAGGCTGTTCTCAGTCAATGTTATTATCCGGATTTTTGTACAGTTTTGTTTCAACCATCAAAACAGCGGGCCGATTATTCAAGCAGACTGATTCAAGCAGAAATCTGCTTTAATTCAGCAAATTTTTTCTTGATTCAAAATAAAATCTTCTTGACGACATACTCAAGAATTTATCTGCCTAAATTGAGTCACCTTTCCTCCAATGAAATTCAAAAATTATGCTAAACGTTATGAAATAAACATGCTGGGGCTTAGGGAGTTTTTGGACTACCGCTCTCTTTTTGTGCCGTAGTATCTTGATTTATTTTGAGAGAGAAGCTCCGTACTCATAAAGGACGCCTGTCATTCTTGATAAGTTGGAGCGCCTTCAATTTCGTATGATACTTTGCACCTCTGTTTTGAAATAGTTGCTTGATGCGCCGCGCGCCGTGGCACGCGGTCGGCTAGCCAGCGCACTGGCGCCTACAAACCCAAAGGGATACTTCACGCATTGCCCGCCGTGAACCGCCGCGCCGGCGTACCGTCAGTGCCCGGTTCACGCCGGCAGCACGCCGCTCCTCTGTGTCTTAGGCTCTAATATTTAAACTCGCGGAGTCAGCGTTTTACAACTCATGATTTTTAATTTTTTTCACACTCTGCATGGATTATTCTCATTTAAATTGACGAAAAAGAAATATGTTTTAAAACAAATGTAATGGGAATGAAATTGTAAATATTAGGGTGGTTCCGGGTAAAAAATTATATCCGAAGCACTTTAAACTTTCCTTTTATAGTTTGTGCTTTTACTGTGCGGCAGCTTGGTGTTTGCGTAACAAACGCTCAAAATTGGACGTATTTGGCTCTAAAAATCTATAAATGATCTACTTTGAAGATCAGTCACCAGAAATGAATCACCAGCACCCAATTTTTCGTTTATTATTCTTCTTCAAATACATTCCAAAAAAATTGAAGCTTTTTGAAGTTCCAAGACTAGAATTCTCTTCCGTAGAACGTTCCGTCCCCGTTATGAGTGGTCATTCTGATAACAGATTATTCTATAGACAAATGAGACGAAAGATACACGGAGATATCCTATTGGTGGAGGCGGGTGGTTGCAATGGACAAAGGAGGTATGTAATAGACTAACTAACGGCAACCCACAAAAGACCCGACAGTTTCTCTATAGTTTTCTCCCTTTGTCTATAGGAGCCACCCGGTTCAACCAATAGGATCGCTCCACACTCCCTATGTCTTCTTTGTCTATAGCTTTATCCACCAATTGCAATAGGCAGTCCGCTGATGCTCGAAATGGGTGCAAAATAAATCGGTAAATACAGCGCACCAACTTTCACCTCTCTGGTGTACACGTATTGAAATCTGTAAGATGACTATTCTCCTATATTATATTCTTCTATATTTTTTATCAAAAAAGAGAGGAGCCTCTCTTTTTTGCGCCGGAATACTCAACAATTGCGACAATGATCGGTCGAGTTGAACTTCCCAATTCAAATCTGATCAAGCCGCAATGTTGCATGAGGTGCTCATTAGCTACACTCAAAAAACAAGTATGGGAAGAGTGACTTATCGGCCAAGTTATGGATCATGGAGCCATAAAATATAGTTCGTGAAGCCATGCTTATAGGTTCACGACCAATAAAGTATGGCTCAGAAAGCCATACTCTAGACGGTCAGTCACTTTGGTTAGAAATTATGGATCTCCGAGCAATTTTCTATGGGTCTCAGAGTCATACCTTTTTTGAGTGTAGAGATTTAGTCTAATGGAAAATTTGAAAAAAAAAGAAAAAAAACAACTCTCCCGCTTGTTTCTGTATTTTACCTGAGTTTATTCATCAGACTATAGCAGGTTATAGATTTCAAGCAGCTTATCCCTTTAACATTTAATTATTCGATAGTTTCGATGAAATTCTGACAGCATGGCAAATAGCCCTATCGCGGCCAGAGCGGCCAGTGGAGGAGCTGTCCACGTTAACCGTTTCGTTACAGTAATGCTCCGTCAGTCACACTCCACGGGGGACGAGCACCGGGAGCAGAAGAGCAGTCCATAGACCAAAAGTCACTTGAGCATGTCATGCGGTTTTGTTCAGCTTCGTGCTCCATTGATACAGTGCTCGTGGCGTGAATTGCGATGTATCGATTGTTATGCCGTTTAAACCTATGGTAAAAAATCGATTATTAATGTGTTCGCTGCGAACACCCTGTTTATCGATCCTTTTCCATAGGTTTAAATGGCATAACGATCGATATATCGCAGAGCACGCCACGCCACTGGTGCTCGTCGCTCAATTTTCGGTGTTAATTCAATCAATCGTTTGATTACAGGACCATCTCCTTACCGCTGGAAATTTGACTCTCGCCCACTTAAAATTAGGCTCGACAAATAAACGGAAATCTCAAAATATAATTTTATCAGGTCCAAGAACTTGTGACAAGATTTTAAGCTCGCCTAACGCTACACGAAAAAAAAACTCCGGCCATGGAATTTGAACTTGCGGGCTATATGCCATACATGCCGTCCGCGTTCCGGGCTCAGAGACCGAAAGTTCCGGGCGTAGCACCCGGAGAAATTGAAGGTACGGCCCCAGCACCCACAACTTTCGGCCTCTGAGCCCAGAACGGCCGGTTTGTCTATAAAGCCCGTAACTTTTTTTTCCAGGGTATCGGACTAAAGTATGTACCTGCTAAACTGACCTCGGAATGTTTTCACATCAAGCAAGGATTTTGTCGGGGTAGCTTTTTTTTACAAATTTACATGTGCCATTATTTTATACAAATGGGAAAATTCCTTAAAATATATTTGTGTAATGTCATTGTCATTGAATCAATTATTCTAACGCTAATTTGTTTTTTTTTTTTGCTGCAAGCGAGCTATGCATGTAAAGTGATCTGGAATGCAGGTTAAGACATGCATTACAATAAATTAAGAAAACAGTTCTGGTTGCAGAACACAGAAATTTGAGTTTCAAAAGAGTGCTGATCGGGACTTTCTGAAATCCTAATTTTTTCTTTTTTCTTTTAAAGTTGTGCAGTAATTACTCATAAATACATTGTATACGAAGTAGCTTAAAGAATTGAAATGTATTCACTCCACCTAAAATTCTACACCTTACACCTGAAATTATTTGTTTTTACCATTTTCGGTTTTTCTATCATTACATTTTGTCGGCCGTTGAGCTGATTAAAATGAAAATTTCTAAATCACAGTATGCATTTGTAGAACTCTAATTTTAATTTTTGTAAATTCTTTGAGTGAGCCACTATTTGCGGCATTCTGTAAGCTTCAATAAATTATTTAACAGATGCATCTGTTTTTCTGATTTCAGATGAAGACTGGAACGTGGAAGCGACAGAGGAGCCGATGTTCCTGATGCAACCGGTGAACCCCTCCTGGCGGAGCAACGAAGTCTACTTGCCGAAAGTCCGACGACAACCGAGCAGCGGCCTGGAATCGACTCCGGCCTCTCAGAGCCACGCCGTGACCCCAGACCAGGACCCCTACAAACGACGCTTCGATCATTCCCGACAGCAGACCCCCACTTCGGACCTAGACCTCCACCCACTCCCACGCTCCCGGCGCAGCGACTCCCTCAGCAGCCCCGAAGACAAACACCCCCAAACGAAACCCGTTAAGGTGGACCCCTACAGGAAGCCAACCTCGGAAGTGGAACGACGGAAGAAGATCGCGGAACAGCGTCAGCGGTCACCCTCCCTCAAGTCGACCGAGGAACCAGCCTCACCCCTGGAGCGCTTCCAGGATGCCAAAGAAAAGTTCCTAGCCATGGAGCGTGAGCGGCTGGAACAAGAGAACCTTGCCAACATAAACCGGAAGAAGCAGGTTGAGCAACCGGTGGTCGCCGTGGCGAAACGGAACCCACCCCCGTTGCGACAGTGGCGCTGTCGGGACCCAGAGGAACCCGAAGTCCGCTCGGCACCGCTCGGTAGATCCGACCCGGATCGGTACTCTTACGAGGAGGAGATGGAGAGGAGACCCCAAAGAGAACATCCAATCGGTCGTTCGCGGGAGAGCCTGGACTCGGACGAGTTCCCGACGTACCGCGCCGCCCCTGACGATAAGCTCTTCAAGTACAGGTACAGAAGTCCACCGAGGGGTGATGGATTACCTTCCTACCAGAAATCACCTTCAGACGGCCATGAAAGGTACCCGAAGAACATAGACCAAGGCTACGACAAATACCGTCAGAAAGACGTTCACCCGGAAAAATACCCGCAAAGAGTCACGCCCGATTACCCCATCAAGTACCCCCAAAGGCCTGATGGCTTCGATAAATACCCGCAGAAACCCGTAGAAAGTTATGATAAGTACCCGCAAAAGTCTGACCCACACAGCTTCGAGAAAGCCCCCGCAGAGAGATACGACAAATACCCGTCCAAGCCTGCACCTCACGGTTACGACAAGTACCCGCAAAAGAGCCCCATAGATACATGGGATAGTAAGTACCCCCAAAAGGCTGAGCCACATAGGAGGCCTGTCGATTATGACAAGTATCCCCGGAAGCCCCCCGGAGGTTACGAGCCCCCGGCAAGGTCCTACCCCGACGACTGTTACACGGACGACTACCAGGTGCCATACGAGGAGGAGAACATCCCCTTGGAGCGGTACCGGAGCCCGACACGGATCGCTCGACCGCACATCACGAAGAAGGCCACCCCGAAACCGAAGATCTCGTTCGAGGGTGACCAAGCCGGGGTGCGGCGCTCCAACTCGCGATACTTCGAGCCACCCCCGCGGAACCCAGGTGGACCCCCCTTCGAGCCGGACCCCAGGGTCCGTCGCCCGGTGGACCCCGAGGAGGAAAAGCGGCGAAGCTTCCAGGAGTTAGCGAAGGAGTTCAAACGGAAGTCTTACCAGGAGCCGGATTACCGGCCCGCCAAGGTGAACACACCCCCGCGCTATAGGCATAGCTATGCGGAGCCGCTCCACCACCATCAGCCGCCACTCCCTCATCCCCATCCGATACTCCAGAGGACCAACAGCTTCCTCGCTGCCGGTCGGATGGGCCTCGCACCCGTCCACCCTTACTGATCCGCCCGCAAGATACCACCAGAATACAAATAGATCTTTCTCCAACCTCATGTTGGTAGAAGGAAACGTTTACTTTTGGGGCATTACTGCTCAAGCTCTTACTCGATGTTCAGCGAAGTGTTCTACAGCAAGCTGTTTTACAGGCACAGCATGGTTTGATAAACTTTCTAGTCAAGCTGCTGAATTCACTGCTGAACGGGCAACAGGAACGTGAAGATGAGTGGTGTTTTGTGAATGGATTGTCAAAAATCCAATAGCAAAATCACTCACCGATTCTATGAGGGAAAAAATGAGTTTCTAATTGTGTCAAAGATTATTGAGAGCAGTTTAGGTAACGGCACGGTTCGCAAAAGAAGGAAGATTTCATTGAAATACGGAGGAGATTGTTTGTTAGAACGGTATCAAACGTCCAATCAGAATTTGATAGTTGAAGCCTAAATAGTGGTGAAATTGTGGCCAACCCATGAATTTGAACTTTTTGCTAAATGAAATCACTCTAAAAAAGACAGCTATTGATGTCATACATTACGTTGGTGCATGCCATGCTTTTTTCCACGTCGGTTATAGGTACGTTAAACATCACATTTAAACATGTTGTTCTTTCAGAACTCAAAATCTTGTGAAAAAAGCCATGGTGTGCACAATCCATGCGTTTTGGTAGGTGATGTCTCTGGCAAAATCGCACTCAGGAAATTTGCGTTTAAACTTGTTTTTTTTTCTTTTCCCATATCTATGAGACTTCTTCGCCGCTATTTCTCTAATAATTTAAACATCGATTTCATTCCCTAATTCAATTCGAATAACTCATGCTGTGCGTTCCTCTAATTTTTTTTTGCAATTCATTTTCAATTATGTATGTTTCTTTGTTTTTCACTTTTTATGATGCAATCTCTCTCTAATTTTCTAACAACAAGAATCGAACAAAATCCTAGAAAAAATATGTAATTGCTTCTTTTGTGCTCTTGAACTTTCCAAGGACTGAAACAGAACTCACAAAGAGAGAGGAGTTAAGTCAAAATTGGCCCACGTATTTTCAACGGGAACTTTTGTAGATTTAGCAACGAGATCACCCTTTAAACTTCAAAAACCCAATTATTGTTGCTAGAAGTCTGGTGCTGTCCCTCTTGCTCCATATATTACCTCACATTTAGCCGGAGGTATCGAAAAAATCTAGGAATTTTAAGATACAACAATATACCTCGAAATTAGAGGCCCCAGAGGACTCTGACTCCGAGGTCGATATCTTTTTACGCCTCCGAGAATGATTTGCATTAATTAAACATGACTTGCAACACCCAAACATCTGAATGAGTTGCTTTTTTTGTATTTATAATGTTGATTCAATCTTCGAGTCAATCGGAACACACGCATTGTTTCAATTATGTAACCACGGAAAAGAAAAAAAGGAATTAAATAATAATCAGCATAACTCCAAATGATTAAGCCTTGCCATTACAATATTCTCTCCGAAGCATATGCATGTTATAAATATCATTCACATGTATCGCTCTTGATTATTACTCGAATTTGAGTCAGTAGTTATGCTATCAAACATTCCTTGATTTTTCAATTCGTCACTAATACTAAGAAAAAACGCCGTATGAACCTTCAGGCGTTGCCAAATTTCCTTCGATATAACGCGAATTTTCTGGTAAATGTATGAATATTTTCCTCCTAATTTTTAGATAATTTAGTTCCCAATTTTACCTGAACATTCAGAAACTTTAAAGGGATAATATTCATAATTTTCTTCAATAATAAACATTTCATCGAAGGAAATCTGGTAACTCTCGAATGTTCATACGGCGTTCTTTCTTTTAGCACGGCAGAATAGGTGTATTAAATATAAATGTACCCTCTATGAACGGAAGGTCTATTGTGACAAACATTAAATGGACCGAGTTTAACAGAAAGGAACCAAGCCACATCAGCTATTGCCAAGTTTAACTGGGCAGTTAAATTTTTTACGAGAGAACGTTTGTTCGGATTTCTTTGAAAATTTTAAGGAATTTGCTTCGTACCATGGAGAAATTTCACTGAAATTTGCACGAAAATCCGCACAACCGTTTTCATGTAAAAAATTAAATTGCCCAATTAAATTTGGCAATAGCTGATGTGGCTTGGTTCCTTTCTGTTTAACGCGGTCCAAATGTCTGCCTGAATGTTTTCTTTAATACTTCTCAGTGTCATTAAAACTGTCCCATATTAATATACTAACTGACCACCATGAAATTTTTGACTGTCAAGTCTCAAACACTGGAAATTTCAAAAGACATGCGAGGTTAAAATTAAAATACGTAAAATACCTAGATGTATGATTATCAGCCTCTCGGCCGCTCAAATTGTTTGGATATTCCGAGTAAAGCTGAATCGTTTTAACCTTGACTGAAACCTCTTGGAGGCAAATTAAGTGCACAGCTGCCAAAATTAGTCAAAATGAAAGCACTTGAACAAGGATATGACTTTCCTGGGAATGAATTTCAATTAAATTAAAAAGGCCACGAGAGTCTCTCGCGGAAAGCTGTTAAGCTCGTTTTTATTTTATGAGCATCAATACCTAGAACCTAGGAATCGTGTATCGGATCAGAGCCTGCGGGTTTTGAATGCTTCTGTAAATACCTGTCTTATCGTGAAAAATCCACAAAACTTGGTAACGCTGAACGGACCGATATTTTGAATAAATTATATACCTGCTTGGTTCTTGAGTCATCTCAATTACAGGAATACAGAGTTGTCGAATTATGAATAAGAAATTTCTCTTGGTTGATGATTATAGCTTCGCTTTTATTTCTCTCAATCGTAAACGATTTTTTGAAATTCTGACGACACTCTGGTCTCCTCAAAAGTCATTGAAAATATCGAAACTTTCATGACACTGTCTCTTGCTGAGCAGTTACTTTTAATTGTTTAATTCTGCATAGGAATAAATTTGGCACCGTAGTAGGTACCTCTGAGCGGTTAAAACCTAGTCAGGCAGTCTCATCCCGATTGTCCATCTCCAGTACCTTTCTTTAGGGAAAATTAAAATGGAGATGGGCCAGCAGACAAGATAAGTGAAAAAGAAGAGGCCCTTTTTCTTTGAGCAAAAGGGGCGTTACTATACTTAAATATGACCTTCGCCGTCCGTGTGACCCCATACTTTTCAGAGGTCTTGTTAAAGTATATTAGCAAATTTTCGTCAACAGAGTGAAGAACGAAGCAAACCTGAGAAAACATGATCTTGCCGCCTTATTGAAACTGAAAAAATATATTTTCCGGTTGGAATAAACATTAAGGTAAATTTGGCAAAGGAAATCCTAGCCTAGGAGTTTTTATCTATTTCAACTTTAGCACCGTCTCATTGTTTTTTTTTTCTTCGAAAACGTACGGAATCTTTGCTCACGTGTCAATACATATGTGAATTTCAAAATCACCTGGATACCATGTTTCTGTGGTATTAGAATTTGTCTTCGGGTTGTGTACTTCAACCATTGGAAGAAAACCAAAGTCAAATGGCTATCAGAATTCAAGCACCTACGGCGAAGCCAATCAGGGGTCATTTACCAGTTTAAGATCGTCAATTATTCAAGATTGACTGAAAACTGCTTAATTTTACATTTTCACTCAAAAATTCTTGTCATTTAAATATAATCTTGTAATCAAGTGCTGCCCTGTAGTACTTTCCACATGTTCGCTCAATTTTAGATTTCTTCAATTATTATGTTTGAGATAATTTTAAAATATTCGAGGACATATTTTAACTTAATTGTAATTTTCTAATTCTAAATTCCTCAAAACTGGTACTCGCAACTGCCAATGGTGCGCAGATAAGGTAAAAACAAATGAAAATCTTGTCTAAAAATTTAAATGTTTTCGTGTAAAAACAAGGATTTTTCCTTCAACCACTCAACGACTGAGTACACGTCGAAGAATTAGTTTTGTGCTAGTAGATTATTCCAGAGTATTGTAAATGTAGGTTTGTTACATTTTCATATGATCACGTGATTTTGTAAAGTGTACATTCAGTGCTACGAAAGATTGATGGTTTTATAGTCAATGCAAATTTTGTAAATATTTGTTATTGAATTTTATTTGTTTCTGCTTCCAGTGATATTTTTGAGCAATATAATATAAGTTGACTGTATATAAAAATAAATTTAGTAGCTTACAAACCATTTCTTGTTTGCCTATCATTTTCTCGAATTTCATTATGTTAGATAATCAGTCAATTAAACCGAATAAAACAAGAAGGAATTTTTTGTAAGGCGGCACGCAGCTGGTGCTTCAGCTCCTTAAATTTCTAAAGAAAAACAAAGGAGGTTTGTGTGCGTTCAATCGCGAGCAATATGACGTCATGCTCTCTCTCATCGTCACTCATTCCATGTAAAAACCTGTTGTTAATTGGATGGAATGTCGCAGTTAAGCCTTGCCATAGATTTTCGCCGAACAGCAAAAAGTAGCTACCGTAAGCGTAGAAGATTACAGATATCTGTTTATTCGTCGCTCTTTTGAGCAATATAGAATGACATTTACCGTTATCCTTTCAATTAATTGGAGATTTCCTTATTTGAGAATTTTTTTAATGAAACTGGATTACGAGAAAACCACGTTTGAGAATCTACATGGTATATTCAACAGTAATTTCAATATTTTTTTAAAAGGTAAAATCAACTCAGCATATAGCGTATAGTATCTAAACTAAAGTCAAAATATGCAGAACTTAGCATGAAAATTAATATACGGATAGAATTTTAAGTCAGAGAGTTCTGTTCACATTCATAGAAGAAAAAAACAAGCAAAAAACATAATACCAATAAAGCAAACTTGCGAAAAAACGAAAAACCAAACAACTTTCATAATTAAATCGAGGTACTCTCATATTTTTCCAGCTATGTAACCTCATATTTTTCCAGCTATGTAATGCGAAGAGTATATTTATGGACAAATAACATGTTCGGTTCTCAGATTATGCGCCTCCCGCCAAAATGGACGTAATCTTTATCACGCCCTTTTTAAACACA